AGATAGATAGATAGATAGATAGATAAATAGATCTTGGAACATCCAAGTCAGCACGTCAAAAATACATATTTGTTTCGATGTCTAAAAACGTCTCGTCAGGTGGTTAACGATGGTGGTAATAAACGAATTTATTTAAAAATATAATTTATGAAACATCACTACTTTTTACATTTTTGAAAATTTTCCCTAGAAGGCAAAGAAACAGATATATAAAAAAAAAATGATTCATTCCATAAAAGGAAAAGAAAGAAAAAACAAACTAAATTAAAAAAAGGAAATTAAATAAGAAATCAATAAAAAAAGAAAGTGGTAAGAAAAGAAAGGCATAAGAAATCATAAGAAATCAACCCTTCTACAAAGAGGTGGGAAAGAAAAGAAAGAAAAAAAGAGGGAAGTATATCCAAATTTTACAGACACATAGAAAAGGCAAGAGAACAAAATAAGATATGTGAAGTTGTTGATACCAGATTTAGCCAATGAAGACACATTAAGATGGAAAATTCAAAACTGAACGGAAATGTTACTCGACAAGGTAGGAAGCGTATTACAGATACAATGCAGCAATTCAAATTTTATGACATTTTGAATGAAATCACATATTTCAACAAAATTAAACATAGTACGTAAATAAAAGACCCTTTAAGAAGAAAAACCATATACAAACAAAACAACTACTTAACTATACCAACCTTACATTATAAATTAGAATACAAATTAAATGTTAAACATTTATATGACTTATATATCTATTTTAAATTAAAAACTATTATCAAACAACATCACAAGTAAAATAATGATAAGCTAATTCATGGCTAACGTTACTACGTGTAATTTACGAATAATAACCTATTTAATACCTTAATCAATAATAAACCACTAAGGATAACATTAAAATGCTTATATAAAGATAATATAACATAAGAGAAGTGATTATTGAGTTATAAAGTCTAGCAAGATAGTGTTATACCAGAACATTACTTATTCTATTGTAATAGACTCTCCCGCAGATAATAAGTAGTAGTAGCAGTGGCCAGTTGGAGTTGAGTGAGTCAGTCGATGTCGGACATTGAAGTATCAACCATCACAACTAGATTGCTGCGTCATTAACTCTTATTTCAAGTTCCTAACGTTTTGTACATCGAACCTAATTTAGGTCGACTTAGTTGAAATACAAGCCTCCACTGTGAAAACTACTCTACAACACATAGTAAGGTTAATTCCTTAATATGCCGGGAATACACCGTAGTTTCATATCTCTGATTTAATAATTGATTGCTATTCAAGAGTTTAATTAGCTCAATTTTCTACTGTAGACAAAGGAAATACGATTCAGTCACGGATCTACAGATTCTGGCTTGTTTGAGAATTTTATGTCATATAAATGTTTAAATTTTAATTTTAAGTCATCTAAATGCTTAAAATTTATTTTACTTTAGCTACAGAAGAAGCGTCTGGTTAGCAAGGCTGAATTACTACTTTTAAACTACAAATTTTTCAGGCCATATGACGGTTCCGTGTAGGATAGAGATTCGATTCCTTTTTTCGGAAATTTCTCGGACACATATTTTTAATATTGATTATAAACTGTGCAAAATATTTGTATTTATAAAATTTATTATACAGAAAATACATAAAATAATTATCGAACTTAGACCAAAAGTTTCCATATATATATAAACTAAGGCGAATTACAGAAAATTTGCAAGACCAGATAAAACGATAGATCAAGGCAATTGTAGATGTGATTGACATTACATTTGAATAGCGATTATATCTCTCAGGGAAACTGGAATAGGGAAGGGAGTTCCACAGGCGAGAGATGCGAGACATGAAGCTATTGGAGTAGAAGAGACGGCTACATTTAGGAGTTTCGAAACAACACAGAACACACACTCTCTAAAAGATGCATCCTTGAAATTCTATCGGAAATACAGAACATTCGGACAGTTCTTACACACTTTGACAAAAAGAAAGCTCTTTTCAGAACACACAAAAATTAAATAAAAAGAATACAATTGTCTGTCGTTTTAATGAAACATGAAAGAGAAATATACAAATATATATATATATCTAGAAATGACTCCACGATTTATTACATTCAACGTTACCGATTTCAAGTTAATTTCCAAAATTGATATAATGAGATATCATTGGGATTATGGGAGAAAAATTATTCCATCTTTCATAGTAGCCAGTACATCTATTACGGCCTTGTTAAATTTAGCTTTTTGTACTTCTTTTACGCATGATGGAAAATAATGACTAAAGTACTGTTTATAGAAACTAAAATAAAAACGATATTTCCGTTACCCTCATGTACTTATATTATATTTATATATATATATATATATGGACAGGGTGTGTGTGTGTGTGTGTGTGTGTGTGTGTGTGTGTGTGTGTGTGTGTGTGTGTGTGTGTGTGTGTGTGTGTGTGTGCGCGCGCGCGTGTGAATTACAATTAATGAAATTCAAAAATTTACTTCATACAGATGATCATTTCGTCCATGGAAAAGTAGTTTTTTCCTGGTGATGATATATTATTCTATTGTTTTTTTGTTTTTTTATGTTTTTATTTTTTTTTTTTTGTGGCTCAGTTTTAATATTTTATATTAATAGGATCTATTTGGATTACTTACCCACAGATTTTTTACCTGTATATATATAAAGCGGACATTGAAGTCAACACCCAAAAGCGACAGTTTGTTTCACGCTTGAAGGCAATCGCCAGGCCTAATGATTGCCTTCAATCATGGAACAGACTGTCACTTCTGGGTGTTGATTTCAATGTCCACTTTTATATTTACATAGGCTCTATCCCTAGTATTGAATACTTAACTCATCAATACAGCATACCTTAAAACGATATTTTATCATATATATATATATATATATATATATATATATATATATATATATATATATATATATATATATATATATATATATATATATATATATATATATATATATATATATATATATATATATATATATATATATATATATATATATATATATATATATATATATATATATATATATATATATATATATATATATATATATATATATATATATATATATATATATATATATATATATATATATATATATACAGTTATATATAAATATATATATATATATATTTATATATATATATATATATATATTATACTCGATAATTTCGGTTGAGCACAGTTGAGACAGTAAATTCTAAAGAGTAGCCGTCTCCCGCTATAGCAACGCTCTTCATTAAATGAATTGAGCACTATGGATGTTTGACGTTTGTTTACATTCATAAAAAATAATACGCTAGATTTTGCTTTCCCTCAGGGGTAGAAAATCCGACTAATACTAAATCGCTCGGGTTTCGATCGCGGCTTGAAGCAATCAGATGTCTAGCCGCACAGCGAAACAGGCATGTGGGTGGCATTATATATATATATATATATATATATATATATATATATATATATATATAGCAATTCTAATATTAGCTGTTTCCTTACAAGGAAACATTTGTCATTCATTGACAATACTGCTTTCGGTTGAAATTTATAAATTCTTTCGCTTAAAATAGATTTTTCAAGTCTTGTAGCTATTATTGCTCTTTCCATGATGATGGAATTTTCCTTCCTAACCGTTTAATTAAAGTAGTGTGGAATGTCAACATCTTGATTACGTCATTATTTTTGAGTTACATGTGGTATCCATTTTGGTGTTGCTGCCGTTGACAGGGCTCAAGTGATCTGGTTTATTTTATTTTGTAGAGTTCTTTGTTTGTGAATCTGTAGCGCCAGTCCACAATGTTCAAATGTTTTCGTCGTGTCATTTTTTAGAAAAATCTCAACGTCTTTAAATGGCTTTTGTTTCCTATGTAGAATATTTCGCTGTTAAATTTCATAATATTTCTTAAGACTATTGTATCTGCCATTCGATTTGTTACCTTATATATATATATATATATATATATATATATATATAATTATTTTTTATAAAAAATTATAACATAAGTATGTTATAAAATCACTACAAAAATAGCCATTTTGTTTCAACACACTCTGTGTCTTATCAAATGGCTATTTTTGTAGTGATTTTATAACATACTTATGTTATAATTTTTTATAAAAATAATTATATCTGCTCTACTTTGTATTGAGCACTCTTTTAAGAATAGTAATTGTTGGTTATTGGAATTCATTCCGTGTATACCAATTATATACTTTGGTATATATATATATATATATATATATATATATAAGTGTGTGTGTGCGTGCGTGCGTGCGTTTGTGTGTGCGTGCGTGCGTGTGTGTGTGCGTGCGTGTGTGTGTGTGTGTGTGTGCAAAGAGTGGCCTAATAGCACGTAAACGAAATCACCCAAGCACGTTTTTAATTTCGGCTGAGACAACTCCTATTGCAATCGTACTAATGTCCTATAGAAAGGCATGACTCCATTTCTACATGCACTTAGATCCCACCACCAGACACCATGACTTGGTACTGGCAGGATACCATGGTTGACGATGAACCATTTTTCTATGATTATCTTATCTTCCCAGGCATCACGAAAGGAAAGAAAAGAGAAATTTGACGTGCGCTTAAATATGTGACTTTCCTGATTTTTGTTAGAACTCAAATAAGTAGGTACGGTATGGCGTAACAGTCATCGTTACAAAAAAAAATGGAATCGGTTAACTTTGTTCTGATTCAGGCTGAGGTATTTTGTGCTCGACATGAAGATTTTTGGAAAATGATGAATTTATATTTTCTCCATAGGTCAGGCCCGGAATTGTCCCATGTATCTCGTATCCGAACTATAGACAACTGGAGTGGGGGATGATGGTGTTAAGAAAAATATAATAAAAAATGAGAAATGAAAGACAGAAGGCTGTGTAAAGAAAGATACAGCAAATGAAATTGAAGGAATAAAGGTGAGAAGAAAAACGAAAAAATTAATAAAGGCGAGGAGAAAAATGAAAGGGACTATAGGCAAGTAGAAAATTAAATGAGATTAAAGGCGAAAAGAAAAATGAAAGAGAATATAAGCGAGAAGAAAAGTGAAAACGAATACAGGCGATAAGTAAAATGAAAGAAAATAAAGGCGAGAAGAAAAACGAGAGAGAATAAAGATGGGAAGAAAAATGAAAGAAAATTCAGGCGAGAAGAAAAGTAAAAGAGAATACAGGCGAGAAGAAAAATAAAATCGAATAAAAACCGAAAAGAAAAATGAAAGAGTATACAGATGAGAAGAAAACTGAAAAAGAATGCAAAAAAAAAAAAAAAAACGAAAGAAAATAAAGGGGAGAAGAAAAATGAAAAGAAATACAGGCGAGAAGAAAATTTAATGAAAATAAAGACGAAAAGAAAAATGAAAGCAAATACAGACGAGTAGGAAAATGAAAGATAATAAAGGCGAGAATAAAAATGAAAGAGAAGAGGAGAAGAAAAATGAAAGATAATAAAGGTAAGAAAAAAAAATGAAAGAGAAGTTGAGAAGAAAAGAAAGCAAACAATAAGAAGAAAAACAATAAAATGAGTAAAAAAATAACGCTAAATAATAACTAGAAAAGAAAGGAATTAAGATGTAAAAAATATTTCTTAACATAAAAGTGTGAAAACGTGAAAATTGTCACAGCACCAATCTTTTCGCTAAATTTTAACATAATTCTTTCATTTTTTTCTTAACGATTTTTATTCTTCTTTGCAGAATAAGAAATTAAATCCTTTTTCTTTTTCCATATATTACCTTTAATGGATTTTGTCTCATTGAAATCGAAAATAGGCATTTGCATCAGTTATGTCTCAGACAAAATTTGATTAGTTTATTTCGACTGTCTGTATTCTGTACGATATAATAGAATCTGTTGAACATCATTGTAAATCTGTCATCTGGGATTCTGCCAGTAGATCTCTAAAACACCTGATTTTCAACGATATTGAAATTGCATACACACACACTCAACTCTAAAAAAAAAACACGCTTAAATGTCAGCATACCGTGATGAAAACATGCTCCAAACGTAAAGAAAACATAGTTTTATCCTCAAAATCTTTATGTTATTAAAAGCAAGGATCAATGTATTTTCTGATTATTTTTTTACTCCTTTTTAAAACTGATATAATGGAATATGCATACACCTGTGTTCCCCCCTCATTGGAATATGATTGGCTGGTGTCCGTCATAAATACAGACGGACGTGTAGGTACGACAGAGTTTAAGTCTATGACGACGCCCATTGGACTACGCCATTGGCTATCCTATTGGTCAACACTTATTACCTGCGACTACGACGAGTACTAGTCGATTACTGCTACCGTGTACTACTTGGTTACAGTAGCCAAGACCACTTAGCTACTTCGATCAAATATATCCCTTTCCGGGACATATAAAAAACATTAAAAAATTTTATTAAAAAACTTGTTATCTTGCGTCAGCGGTTGTACTAACTTTTAGCATGGGAAATTTGGGCCTCCTTTTCACGGTGCCAGACACATTAAGTTGGAAATTCTTCCAGGAATCAAATTATGGTCAGATTTAAATGAAATGTTTAGAACTTATTCAAGATGAATTAAATTCTTTTTTGATTTCATTTATTAGAAAATATTTGTAAAAATATTTTTTTTACATGTGTTTTATCCCCTTAATTCAACGTGATAATTTTAGTAACTGTATTAGTTAAAAGCAGGATTCTTTGGAAAATTTAAATCACCGAACATTTTTCGCAAAATTGGACCCGGTCATACCGAAAATCTGTTCTGAATCGAAAAATAAAAATGCCATAAAATTAAGACATTATTTAATTAGAGAAGCTTTTAATTGCTTTCTTGAACAATATATATTAAAGACAATATTGTCTGCAGAAAAAAATTTTCGACGAAAAAATGAATTTTTACAAGATTTCTTTTCAGATAAATCAATGGAGTTTGTGGTATTTATGCAGTAGGAGCAAGCACGTTAGCAAATGGTATCCAATGTAAACGTTAAAGCAAAGACGATATTTTGATTTCAACATCAATGAACTTCCTGCAAGAGTTCAGAAGCTCGAACTGTAACGAGATCTTAAGAGAAGGAGAGTTTTAAAAACGACAAGAATTTAGAAAGAGATCAGAATATAATACGTCAATTGTGGAACTTTGTACACAAGCCTTGTGGAAAATTCAAAAGCTAGAAATTGAGTTCAACATGTAATCATAAAAAGGACAATTGGTCAGTGTCAAATATTTCTATTTTTACATAATACTTTCTCGTAATTTTTTCAATAAGATGGTAATGATAACATTAGCTGTTTCCTTATGCGGAAACATTCGGTATTCATTGATCATGCAGCCAATGCTACCCGAGTTATGCTTTTATTCACTCCCTGGCCATGTAGTGTAATATCTGTTCTCCTCATCTCTAATGTTAATGGCAATAATAGCAGTGTCTTTATCAGAAAACATTTGGAATCCATTGATCGAGAAGCCAGTGCTACTTTCTATTAAAATAATTTTTCACTTTGTATATTATTAAGTCTACTATATATTATCGATCTTTTCAGTATTAGTGAGCGTTTCCTTCCTAACCTTATGTTTGAAGTAGTGTGGAACATCAGCATCTTAATTATATAATTATTCTCTTTTTGGGTTACATGTGCTATCGATTTTAATTCTTGCTGCTGTTGAAAGTCCTCAAGTAATATGACTTCTGTTAGTTCGTATAAATCTTTGTTTATAACCATACCATTCCATTTGTAGCACTTATGTTTATTTCGTTTTAATTTGGTTTGTAGTGACATTCCACGATTGGATAAAATATGGTCCTCCATAAGAGATGCAGGCTTTGCTCACTCAAAATCATTTTTATCATCGATCTGAGAAATCGGCCGTATACAGCTGACAGATTAGATGAGTGTGGTGCCATATGAAAGTGTCGAACTGATGGGACTATTTAAGAATATGATTTCGTTTTGTAGCAATTTGAGACTATTTTAAGTTCAATTCCCTTATCTGCCTTTTTTATTCTTTTTATAAGGGATAAATAAAAATAGAATTAGTTTAGAAATCCCACTTAGAGATTTGGTTTGGTTTGGTTTGTTTTACGGCATATCAACCCCAATGGGTTATTTAATGGCTACAAAATTGTTATCGCTGGTATTAATTTGTTTTTTCAAAAATCTATTTCTGGCAATATTTTTTCTTCAAAAATATATTGCTGGTAATTTTTTTTTTTCAAAAATATATTGCTGGTAATATTTTTTTCAAAAATGCATACCTGGTAATATTTTTTTTAAATGTATAGCTGGTAATATTTTTTTTCAAAAATGTATTGCTGGAAATATTTTTTTCAAAAATTTATTGCTGGTAATAATTTTTCATAAAGTATTTCTGGTGTTAAAACCTATTTTTACACTTTCATAGTGTTTTGACTCCAGTTTAGGAGTTAACTATTTGCCTATAGCCGGGACCCCAACAGGTGCTACCACTCCGTGTCTGGGCTGACTTGGGAACACCAACAATTAAGAGGTGGTTCCATGCTCCTCAAAACCTCCTGATCAGAGAGGCCTTGCTGTTGGATGTAGTTTATCGTCTTACCCAGGACACGGATGTAGATTATCGCCATACCCAGGACGGCCCACTTGAAGACTATCACTTCAGTACACTTTTCCTCTTTCACACAATGGAAAAAAAATACCGTCTATGTTTTCAAATGGAAATTTTAGCTTCTTAAAATCACAAGTCGCTGGAAGCTGGACATCTGAGTATTTGAAAATGACTTTTTAGAATAAAGCATACGAAAAGAAGATCTTTCTCTGAGCAAAATAGTTGGCCATTTATTTCGTTACATGATAATGACTTTCCTTCTTGTACTACAATCATGAAAGTCGAATAGCAAGTTCTTTCCTATTTACTATATTATCGATATTATCGCCTTCAGACTCTCATTTCTTTAGCTCCATGAAACATCAATTGTTTTCTTAGATCCCACCAAGTTAAACACATCGAAAAACTATCGACAAAAAACCGGAATTCTTCTGTAATATAATACACAATTTAATTTTTTTTAACCGTTCCGCCCCAGGTAAGGCAACAATGGAACTAAGACGTAAGGTTAGAGAGATTGAAAGTGAATGCGAACTTTTTTTGTGATAAGAAACGAGGAAAGTGCAATAAAGGAAAAGGGTTCCACTAGACAGAAGATGGCGATAGAAGTTGCATTAATTTTTTTAAAGATTGTAGATGACAGGGAAGCAATAAATTGGAAAAGAGATCCACAGGTGAAAAGTGCGAGAAAAGAAAATATTTGAATAGAAGTGGCAGTTGCATCTAGTAAGTTCAACAGTAAAACGATTAGACCTAGTTACCAATCTAAAAGCACATTAAATTCATATACCCCAAGCACTAAATAAAAGAGCTCACCAGAAGAGCTGCCATGAAAATATTTGATGAAAAGACAGACGGAAGTCACGTCACGGTGGTGAGAAAGTTACTGAAGTCGTGATCGATTACATTACAGACCGTTCTTTGAATTTTATCAAGTACCTTGAGATATACAGTGAGCCCCCCGTATTCGCAGGGGTTAGGGACCAGAACCGGCCACGAATATTTAGAATGCGCGAATACTTGTAAACTCCTAAATGTGTTTATAACTTTCTTATTTTGTTTGTTACAACCCCATATGCCTTAAACTTTCATCCTAAACACTTTAGAAACATTTCAGACCCTTTTGAAAACATTTTTGATAAACAGTATTGGTGACCATACACTTAGCGTAAATTTCCTTTCATACGTACAATAACCGTTTTTAATTACGCATAGATCGATACAACCATTGAAAGTACTACATAAAATGTGTAACGAGACATAAAATATAAAGTTTAAAACATTTTCTAAAAACAGAACTGTGATGATGCCCCCAGATTTAGAATAAGCTACTTTTAAGACTCCAGTCGCTGCCCCTAACAAAGAACAAAGCACAAACACTATGTGTTGTGGATTCCGAGATGAATTCGGTCTCCAAGGAATGACAAACGCAATAATTAAATATAAAAAATAAAACTACAAGCGGTTACCTCACACTATCTCCGTTCGTATATATATATATATATATATATATATATATATATATATATATATATATATATATATATATATATATATATATATATCCTCTGACTGTCTACTCCCTCACTGACTGTCTTTAACGACAGCCGTCCAAGTAACACTGGTAGAGTCCACTTATATGAAAAGGGGAGTACACCATAACACTATCCATGTTTTTGCGTTTGTTTGTTTTTTTTGCAATGAAGATGTACAATTCTGCCAATTTTTACCATAAATATGGACTGTTATATGTTTTAATTCACTTAAATAACAGGAAAATAATACAAGAATATTTTAAATATATTCTAACGAAAAAATACACGAATCGATGGAGTTCTTAGAGAATAATTTGTACATAGGTTCTGCAGTAAAACACAAATGTTCGGGATTAGCGCGAATAACAATTACATATGAAAAATCAGCGAATGTGTGAAGCCGCGAATTCTGAACCGTGAATAGGCGGGGGATCA